TGATGCCAGGAGACATCCGGCTCATTAGGACAGAGGGAGAGCCAGACCTCGTGAACAGAGAACGGCGTGAGCCGACCATCCCTGGTTCTCCAGAGGAGCTTATCAGGGGCATTAGAGGAAAGGACAGGAAGAGGGGAATTGCGGATTAAAGGGTTGGGACTGACCCTCAGGAGAGGGCAGTTCCAAACACCCTGGGAGATGATATCTTTCACAGGAGCAGAGAGAGGGATATTAGAATTAATGATGCTGCGGGAGGATATATGCCGGTAGAGGGGACCAGCCGGGTGCCAGTTGTCATACCAGGCGGACGTGGAAGCGCCATTACCAATCTGGGAGACAATACAGTCTCTGATCTTTTCCCTCATGCCAAGGATCTTTCTCCAGCCCCAACCAACATCACTACGGATGGGGACATCCCAAAAGTTACGCTCTTTAAGCCTGTAGGAGTGGATCCATTTAACCCATAAAGAATCCTTGATGGTAAGGATTCTCCAAGTATGAGAGGCCATGAGGGCACAGTTCCAGGTGGACAGGCTCTTAATTCCAAGACCGCCTTGAGTTTTTGGGAGGCAGACGGTCTTCCAAGAAACCTTCACTTTCCCTCTTTTGAGCTCGCCATGGCACCACAAGAATCCCCGCATAAGCTGCTCAATCTCCTTAGAAATGGAAATAGGAAGCATAAAGATCGAAGCCCAGTAAATTTGCATGGAAGACAAGACAGAAAGGATGAGCTGAAGTCTACCAGCGAAAGAGAGGGACTTGTTTTTCCAATCATGGAGTTTGGACTTCACTTTGTCCACAAGACCCTTGCAGTCCTGATGGAAGAGGCGAGTCGTGATGAGGGGGACACCCAGGTAACGGACAGGAAGAGAGCCCTCCGGGAAGCGGATGATCGACTGGATAGCACTCTTAGTGATCGGACCAATATTGCAATAGAAAGCCTCACTCTTGGCCAGATTGGGAAGAAGGCCAGACACACCAGAGAACTCGTCAATGGAATCCTTTATGACACGAACAGAGTCACTATCACCATGACAGAATATGAGGAGATCATCAGCAAAACACAGGTGGGTGATCTTCAACTCCTCACAATTCYGGTGGTAGGAAAAAATGCCCGTCTCACTAATTTTTCTTTTGGTCATAAGGTTGAGAACCTCCATAACCAGGGTAAAAAGATAGGGGGAAAGGGGGTCACCCTGCCTCAAGCCACGACCTCCCTTGAAGTAGCCATGGAGGTTTCCATTAATACTGACCGAGTACGATGCAGTGGAAACACATGTCATAATCCAGTTTATCATGGGAAGGGGGAAGCCATAACCGAAGAGAGTGGTACGGAGGAAATGCCAATCGACAGTATCATAAGCCTTTTGGATGTCAACCTTGAAGGCACAACGGGGAGGGCCCCGATGCTTATGATAGCCACGCATGAGCTCCTGGACGAGAAGGACATTGTCCGTGATGAGCCGACCCGGGATGAACGCAGACTGGTTAACATCAACCAGGGAGGAAAGATGATCTTTGATCCGATCCGCGATAATCTTGCTAATGATTTTATACACGACATTACAGCAAGCAATGGGGCGGAAGTCGGTGACCCGAGACGGGGCAGCAGACTTAGGAATAAGAGCAAGAATAGTGCTATTTATAGACTTAAGGAGCTTACCAGACGTGAAGAACTCACGAACGACAGAGCACAGGTCCTTGCCAACGATATCCCAAGCAGCCTTGAAAAACTTAGCAGTGAACCCATCAGGACCGGGCGCCTTGTCATCTCCAATCTGGAAGAGGGCCCGCTTTATCTCAGAGTCGGAAATGGGCACGAGCATCGAGGCAGCCTGATTGGCATTCAGCTTATTAGAAAAAAGAAAACCGGGATCACGAATAGGGAGAGAAGGATGAGGGGTCCCAAGGAAATTCTGGAAGTGGGAGACAAAAAGATCAGGAACCTCAACATTAGGGATCCAGATACCGTCAGCATTTTGGATGGTGTCAATATTATTCCGGCTGATACGGCTCTTGACAGATTTATGGAAGAAAGCAGAGTTTTTATCTCCCTCACGGAGCCATTGGATTTTGGCTTTTTGCTTCAGGAACCTTTCCTCATCAAGGCAGGCACTATTATAGGCAGATAAATACCCACNAGAAGGACATTGTCCGTGATGAGCCGACCCGGTATGAACGCAGACTGGTTGACATCAACCAGAGAGGAAAGATGATCTTTTATCCGATCCGCGATAATCTTGCTAATGATTTTATACACGACATTACAGCAAGCAATGGGGCGGAAGTCGGTGACCCAAGACGGGGGGGGCAGACTTAGGAATGAGAGCAAGAATAGTGCTATTTATAGACTTAAGGAGCTTACCAGACGTGAAGAACTCACGAACGGCAGAGCACATGTCTTTGCCAACGATATCCGAGGCAGCCTTGAAAAATTTAGCAGTGAACCCATCAGGACCAGGCGCCTTGTCATCACCAATCTGGAAAAGGGCCTGCTTGATCTCGGAGTCGGAAATAAGCACGAGCATCGAGGCAGCCTGACCGTCATTAAGCTTTTTAGAAAAAAGAAAAGCGGGATCACGGATGGGGAGAGAAGGATGAGGGGTCCGAAGGAAATTCTGGAAGTGGGAGACAAAAAGATCAGGAACCTCCTCTTTAGAGATCCAGATACCGTCAGCATTTTGGATGGTGGCAATATTATTCCGGCTGATACGGCTCTTGACCGATTTATGTAAGAACGAAGAGTTTTTATCTCCCTCACGGAGCCATTGGATTTTGGCATTTTGCTTCAGGAACCTTTCCTCATCAAGGCAGGCACTATTATAGGCAGATAAATACCCACAGTGCTCCTCTCGGAGGTCCACGTTTTCAGGGTCCCTATCAAGGGCAATCTGGACCCTGTCGAGCTCAAGCCGGATTCTAGAGACATTGGAGAACAGGTTACCCTGATCTTTGAGGAACTTACGGATAGGGCCTTTGAGATTTTTAAGGTTAAGGAAAACCTTATACATCTCATAACCCGACAGGTCAGGGTTCCAGCTCGAGGCAACGACAGAGTTGAAAGCCTCTTTATGAGTAAGAAAATTAGGGAACTTGAAAGGTTTAGGCTTCCAAGGGGACCGGGAGGGAAGGGTAAGGACCGCAGGGCAATGGTCCGAAGACCGGTAAGGAAGAAAGATGACAGAAGCCGAAGAGAAATGAGCAAGGGACAGGGAATTCCCTAAGACACGATCGATCTTCTTGAGGAGACCTCCCGTGCCATTAGGGTTCTTAGACCAGGTAAAGAAGAGGCCTTTGAAGTTGATATCCTCAACCTCAAGGTTACGGACACACTCGCGGAAATCATCCATACCACGAGGGGGGCCCGAAAAGCCAGAAGAGCTATCCTTCGGGTCAAGGGCAACATTGAAATCTCCCATGATAAACCATGGGGTGTCCTTAACGACATGCTTATGGCCCTTCAGAGAAGTCCATAACTGACGACGGGCGATATGGTAATTGTCCGCATACACAAAAGACAAGAAGAGAGTCTTAGAGGAATCCCAGATCTTAGCCTGAAAGTGCATCACTTGGTCGGTGGCATTTAAGAGCATCATGTCAACATGGTCAGGATTCCAAGCAACAATGATACGAGTTCCTCTAGAGCAAAGAGTGCCATTAGAGGTCCAAGACCAAGATCCAAAGACTTTCTCACAGATAGGAGGAAGATTAGAGACAAGGGCGCGGGACTCAAGAGCCGCACAGATATGAAGATTAGAATCACGAATGAGATCTCTTAAAGCTCTCTGGTGGGAGAGATTACAGAGACCCCGGGTATTCCACGAGGCAAGACTCGTCATTGGGAAATGGGGGAGGGGGTGGAGTCCATCTGCTCGGGCTCCTGAGAAGTCATCGGATCAACCTGGGGAGGGGGGATATCATTGGTAAGGAATCGGGCGGTGTCACCATCGTCCGACTCAACCTCAATCAGCTCATCCTCATCAAGGAGGTCATCCTGATCATGGAGATCGTCCTCGCACACAAGAGGAGCAGAGGAGGGGGGAAGAGAAGAGGAGGAGGACCCAGGATCTCTAGGGAGAGACTGGTCAGACAGGACAGAAAAACGGTTGGAAGAAAGGATGGGTGCCATGGAAACTTTGCGGTTGGGTGAAGAAGGGTTGGAGGGTTTGGGGGGTAGACGGCTAAGGATAGGGGGTCTAGGAGGGGAGGAAGGTCTAGGGGTGGGGGAGGAACCCTTTTGGGGGGGCGTAACCTTTGGGGGGGAGCTAGTAGAGGGGCCGGACCATTTCTGAACGGGACGGTATTGCTTGCGAGGGTGAGCCATCGCTTTTGACTTAGAAGGAGCATTAACATTCTTTCCGCTCACCGAATGGGAGTGGGTGTCCTTCATGGATTCTCCATGTCCGTTCAAATAGATCCCTTTACCACGTTGAGCGCTTTTGCTCTTCATGGCTTGAAAACCTTCACTATCAACTAAATCATGTTTTTCACACGAGGCATGATCAGAAGAGAAATCTTTCTTAGTAGCATTTAGAGAAATAACATGCATGCAAACAGAGTCAGAATGTCCAAAGATATTGCAATGAGAGCATATCGGGGGCTTCCATTCATATTCAACCCGAAGGGAGTGGAGGGTCATAGAACCGGTGTCCGGATCCGGGATACGGACATTGACAAAATCCATCCAAGTTTGCCTAAAGGGAACCTCAAGAAGAACCCGGGCGAAAGCGGATTTCCCCGCGGCATAGGTACACATATTAGCAGTCCAAGAGTCCATGACTAACGGCTTACCTAATTTACTGGCAATATAACTCAAGCCTTCATCATTCCAGGCATCATAAGGAATGTCATGAATCTTAACCCAAAGAGGAATACTAGCATGCTTTTTCGAGTTTAGGTTAAGTCCGGGCCTCCATTTCTGGATGAAAATAGGAATGTTTTTAATAGTCCAAGGACCGTTATCAATGACTTTTTGCAATCCCGATTCTTCATTAAATTTAAACAAATATATGCCATGGCCATTAAGCAGCACATCCTCTATACCATATTGTGCCCATAATTTAGACACATAAAATCTCACAACCGGGAAAGGGAGCCCTTTACCCACAAAATAACCACATAGCATTTTGGCATAAGTAGCGCAACTTTTTTGGACCACAGATAAAGGAAGATCAACAGGAGCATTTATATCATTACTAAGATTAGGAATAAATTTAAAATTGGCGTTAGAGTGTTTTTGAGAGCCGTTTAACACATTAGCAAAGGAATTGGGAAGAATAGAAGAAGATTTACCATTCCAAACCGAACCTTTTATAATTTTAGGAATATCCTTTTGAAAGGGCTTAGAAGAAAGATTGGGTAAGGAGTTTTTATGAGAATTGCTGGAATGAGTACCAATTAAAGAAGGATCAAGCCCAGGAGGGGGGGCTGAAAAGAGAGTGTGATCGACAGCATCTAAAACAGAAAGGTCCAGGGGGTGGTTTTGAAAAGACTTAGAAAGAAGAGGGGGAGTAGTAGGAGATGAGTTCATACCTTGGTCCAAGGGGCTGGGGCCTTTTCCGAGAATAGAAGCGGTAACAGGCTGCTCAAAAAAGCGGGCCTGCGATTGAGTTGTGTTTGGGCCCGAGGCCATCATAGGATTAAAAGAAAATGAAGGTGGCTTGCCAAGGATGGAGGGAGGCCCAATTTCCAAAGAAGTAGAATGGTCCACAGACATTAAACAGTCCACATCCTCATTAACAACATCAATAATCAGCGTCCCACCTGGCCCACTATTCTTACCCATATCATCACGTGGCCCGTCAAGACTCTTTAAACATGGCGGCAAGAAGTTTAAAGAAGTAGAGTCCAAATCACCAAGATTTAAAATATTGTCATTGGGAGAAGCAACCAAAGACAATTTAGAATCCAATGGGTCGCTAGCATCTTCACTTGGGTATAATAAATGCATACCACCCACTCCCATTTTAGCCAAACTAGATAAACTTTGAGTCTGGTCAATATCCAATTGGTAATTAAAATTACCTTGAGACCCACACCCTTGCAAGCTGGCAGCCGGCTCCATGGTACCATCCTTTAAAGAAAAAAACATTATTTAATAAAGGCCCACTCCCCAAAGGACAATGAGTACCTATATCTCCCCTCCTAGCATGCGGCTCTTCACCCACTACACCATGCTTTAGCTGTAAACCTTCTTCTGTCACCATTTCTTCTTCTCCAACAGGTTGCATGTTATATTTGAAAAACGAGTTCACGTCATCCCTATTAACGGTACAATCAACGGCTCCAAATATGAACGCAAGTTGCGACTGTTGTTGACTTTCTAGGGATGTTACTGTTGGACCGACGTGACCTCCGACCACCGAGTCACAACCCATCTCCGGCTGATCGGGAGTCCTTCGTTCGATAGCGACAGCAGCATCAACGAGCGAGAAGGCCACAACACTCTTAGAGATCGCGACGGGCCTGCTAAAAGATGCCGACGGGGAGCCATGACGCAGAACTTCAGTCGACAGCCCCTGGTCCGTAGCCATTTCCGGTGAGCCAACCGGTAAAGCAACCACCTGCTGCCCCAAAATAGAAGACCCCGGGAGCCGAGGAAGAACCCTTTTGTTTTTGCAAATGGAAGCCGCAAGTCCTTCACTGACAGGATTAGAGGAACGATAGTCCCTCGGGACACCAACCCGATTATCAAGATCTATCAAGGAGGCTTGATCTATTACCAAGGGTTTAGAGATGATAGATGGAAGATCAAGAAAACCAGCTTCTTCGTCTTTCCGCACCTTTCCAGAGTTAGAATCATGCTTCCATCCCAACTTAAACTCCACAGCGACACCAGCCGAAGTGGGGGGGAGCATGTTACATAATTTTCTGTTTTCTTCATTGTATAGAACATTGTTACAGGAACTTGGAATAAGACGATGAGAATTCACTTTATTGATCCTTCTAAACTTGCAATTCTCTTCAAAATTCTCAACTCTACCTTGATGAGACTTGGGCAGGGGGGTTGAGAACGAAATACGATGATTTGGCATACGAGATTTCCTTGTTTTCCTATGCTTTGATTCCTCCAAAACAAGTTTCATATCGTCCATGAAAGAAAGAACACTAAGAAAATAAAAACCACCACAAAAAGCTAGAGTGAATTTTTAGAGAGAGAAACTAGAGAGAGAAAAAATTCATGCAAATGAGGAAGCTTGGGGTTTAGGGTTTAGGGTTTAGGGTTTAGGGTTTTTTTGATAGAGAGGGGGGAGACCCCTCCAGATCAAGAAAAAAAGCTAAAAGCCAAACAATGAAGCGCGCGAGTAGGAGGTAAACCTCAACTACCAGCCAGGAGAAAACCAAGGCACCCCGAGGGGAAAGAGAAGAAAGGAGGACAAGAAAAAGAGAGGGGAGAGAAAGAGAGAAAAGAAAGACAGAGAGAGGGGAAGAGACGAAAAGAGAGAAGAAGAGGGGGAGAAAAAGAAAGAAAGAGAAACCGACCACAAGGGAAGGGCCCAGCCAAGGCAAGACCGGGAAACAACGGGGAACACCACAAGAGCAAGAGAAGGGGCCTAAAAAAGGCACACCCTAGACCGCACCAAGGAAACCGAGAGAGCAACGGAGCTCACAAGACCAGAAAAAACAGCAGCACACAAAGACAGAGAGCTAAGGGAGATTCCAGGCAAGCCGAGCCTGGGCAACATTGGGAGAGGGCTTGAGGGTCAGGCTAAGGAGCCTGGACCGGACATCGTCGGTAATCGTCTTAACCACCATAATATACGATCTTCTTTTATTTTTGAAGATACGATTATTCCTTTCCTGCCACAGGTGGTAGACCGTTCCAGCAAGCACTAATTTTCGAATAATAGACCAGACGGCCTTTCCTTTGGTAGCATGCTGGAAAACACCAATAATATCAGCCCAATTATCCGGGACACCAGAAAGGTTAAGCTTGGCTTTTAAGCCATTCCAAACCTGATTAGGAAACGGGCATTCAAAGAAAAGATGAGAATGCGAATCAGGCCCGTTTTGACAGAAAGCACAAGACAGGTTGGAGTGGCCCTCCCAGAACCGAAGCTTGTCATGCGTCTTGAGACGCTGCTTGAGGGCAACCCACAGAATAAACGCGTGTCTAGGAATATTCTGGGAAAACCAGACCAAGTGATGCGAGGAGACATCCGGCTCATTAGGACAGAGGGAGAGCCAGACCTCGTGAACAGAGAATGGCGTGAGCCGACCATCCCTTCAGGAGAGGGAAGTTCCAAAGACCCTGGGAGATGATATCCTTCACAGGAGCAGAAAGAGGGAGATTAGAATTAATGATACTGCGGGAAGATAAATGCCGGTAGAGGGGACCCACCGGGTGCCAGTTGTCGTACCAGGCGGACGTGGAAGCGCCATTACCAATCTGGGAGACAATGCAGTCTCTAATCTTTTCCCGCATGCCAAGGATCTTTCTCCAGCCCCAACCAACATCACTGCGGATGGGGACATCCCAGAAGTTACGCTCTTTAAGCCTGTAGGAGTGGATCCATTTAACCCATAGAGAATCCTTGATGGTAAGGATTCTCCAAGTATGAGAGGCCATGAGGGCACAGTTCCAAGTGGACAGGCTCTTAATTCCAAGACCACCTTGAGTTTTCGGGAGGCAGACGGTCTTYCAGGAGACCTTCGCCTTCCCTTTTTTGAGCTCGCCATGGCACCACAAGAATCCCCGCATAAGCTGCTCTATCTCTTTAGATATGGAAATAGGAAGCATAAAGATCGAGGCCCAGTAAATTTGCATGGAGGACAAGACCGAGAGAATGARCTGCAGTCTACCGGCAAAAGAGAGGGACTTGTTTTTCCAATCAAGAAG